CCTCCAATAATGTGCTGTCTGGAATGGGCACTAGATATTAAATAATCTTTAATATTTAGAAAGCATTCAACTTTTATTTTTAATAATAATGAAAACAAATGAACTTTTTTTCAATTTTTATTTGCATATGACATACAAAGTTTCAGACATATTTGAATGGAATAGAGGGAACACCTGATGTCATCCTTCTTCCCATTGGTAAACCTTGACATTGTCAAACATTCAGTATCCACTGTGTACCAGGGAGTACTCTGGAATACCTAGGACTACAGGTGTGTGCCACCACACCTGGCTAATTTTTTATGTTTTGTAGAGACAAGGTCTCTCTGTGTTTCCCAGGCTGGTCTTGAACTCTGGGCCTGAAATGATCCTCCCACATTGGCCTTCCAAAGTGCTGGGTTTACAGGTGTGAGCCACCATGCCCAACCTAGCTGCCATTTAAAGAGTAGGAGACTTCACAGAAATATGAGTTTCCCATTCAAAAAAGACTGACATTCTTGTGAGCTAATGCATAATCTCATGAAGCTTTATAAGACAAGCCTTTAATAGGCACTTAGTTGGAAGGAGCTGGATTGAGGAGTCAAGAAAAGTTTTCCCAGAGGACATTTGAGTTGGGCTTTGAGTACATCATACAGGTGGATCAAAGTGGGAAGTGGCAGCTTAGTCAGTGGGAGTAGTATGAGCAGTAACATAGGATGTGAAAGAATTTGTTGGGTTTGAGCAATCATCAGAGTTCTTTGTGGCCATAGTTTGGGATGTTTGTGGGAAAGTATCAGTAAAAGATGAGGCTGGGAAGGTGATTATAAGCATTTGCCAGTAGAATTCCACCAAGATTTTATTGTTGATTTTTAAAATAAGATAAAATTGTATGCAGAAAAATATATAGAATAGGCAATACAGTTTTGAAAAAGAATAGTGGGGATGAAGGGACTTTCTTTCCAGATATTAAAACATTCTATAAAACCACTGAAATTGAATCATCATAGCATTGGCATAGGAATAGACAAATCATTGGACAGAGCAGATATATAGATTCCAAAATAAATGAGAATTTCATATATGACAACTGATATTTCAGTTCATTAGGGAATGGATGTATTTTTAAGAGATGATACTGGCACAACTGACCGTACATTTAGAAGAAAATAAAATTGGACCTTTCCTACACTGCTTGTAGAAGTAAATTCCAGATGAACATGAAACTTGTGTGAAGAGTTAAACAATTACCTTGCAAGAAAATCTAGGAGATTGTATATTCACTTTAGAGTTATACTTTCAAACTCTTGGACTAAGACTTATAATCAGAAATGTATTTTACATTGTGACCCGGAACATATATTACAAAAGAGCAAGTTTCAGAGAACATTGCTTATGTTTACTATGTGTGATGCCCTTATTGTACATTGTTTTATTTTATTTTAAAATTTTTGGTTCAGGAGGTACATGTGCATATTCGTTACACATATTGCATAGTATGATGGGGACTGGGTCTCAAGTTGCCCATTCCCCAGATAGTGAACACTGTGCCCTGTAAGGAGTTTTTGAACCTTACTCCCCTTTTCCCTCTCCCCTGTTTAGTGTCCCCAGTGTCTATTGTGACCGGTTAGCTCCCACATAGGAGTGAGAACTTATGGTGTTTGGTTTTCTGTTTCTGAGTCTGTTTACTTAGGTTGATGATCTCCAGCTTCATCCATGTTGCTGCAAAGGACGTGATTTCATTCTTTTTAATGACTGTGTAGTACTTCATGGTGTATGTATACCACACTTTCATTATTCACTGATTGGCTGAAGGGCATCTGGATTGATTCTGCATCTTTGCAATTGTGAATTGTGCTGCAGTGAACATGCAGGTGCACGTGGCTTTGTTATATAATGACCTCTGTTCCTTAGAGTAGATCCCTAGAAGTGGAATTGCTGGATCAGATGGTAGATCTACATTTAGTTATTTGAGTAGTCTCCATACTGCTTTCCATGGAGGTTGTACTCATTTATATTCCCACCAACAGAGTATAAGTGTTCCCTTTTTTTGCATCAATGCCAGCATATACTGTTTTTTGATTTTTTAATAATAGCCATTCTGACTGGTGTAAGGTGGTATCTCATTGTGGTTTTAGCTTGCATTTCCCTGATGATGAGTGTTGTTGAACATTTTTTCATATGTTTTTGGTCATTTGTGTATCTTCTTTTGAGAGATGTCTGTTCACATTATTGTACATTCTGTTCTATATAATCAGAATGAAAATATTACCCATTACACTTACTTCATAACCCCCAGTATGAAAAACACTAACAGAGGGAGAAACCTTTTAAGCCAGATTCAATAACAGAACCTATAAAATGAAAGTTAATATTTGACTAGAACAATGAAATTTCACTTCATATGTATCAAATTGGCAAATAAAAAAGCCTGATTCTGGCAGGGGGAAGAGGGTAAGAGAAAGGAACAGCTCTCATTTGTTCTAATGTAAATAGAAATTGTTACAGCTTTTTGGGGAAGCAGCCTGATGATACTAATACCATTATACCCTTTGATCTAATAATTTAACTCTTGGGAACTTATTTTATAGAAATAAAAAGACCACTGCTTAAGGATATATGAGCAAGCATGTTTATTGTATCATTTTCTGGTGACAAAAAAAATGGGGAATTAAGTAAATGCACATCATTAGGAGACTGGTTGAATAAATTAGGCCATACAAATGCCATGGAATATTACACAATCATTTTAAAGAATCTGTTATTAGTTGGAAAGACATTTATGAGGTAATGTTAAATGGAAAAACATGATATACAAATGTATACAATCCCTAGCTATGCATGTATATAAGTTATTTTAATATGATTGAGTTAGGGTGAATAAAATATGGGAGGAAATGTTAAGTTGTTAACATGGGTTGTCTGTCCAGGGAAGTGAATTATTTGAATAGGGAACAAACAGAAAAATGAAAAGAGTGAAAAACTGAAGCAGAACAAAAATAAAAAATCCCTATAGTATAACACTCTTCTGCATTTAGGTAAGAGACTGTGTAGTGTGTATATATTTACTGTATGCATATTATATGTGTATGTATGTGTATGTATGTTACATACATATATGTGTATTTATGTGTGTATATACATTAACTTTAAAAGGCAAGGAAAAAAATGTGTGATGTTTTCTGATGGTGATGGCTCCCTGTCAGAGATTTCCCTTGTCCCTCTTCCACAAGTGAAAGCACTTATTTCAGGGGACACCAGGATATCCCTGGGGGAATTCCTTGTAAGTCATGAGAAAATTGAGACAATTTTAGTAGTCAGTCCTCCCTTTGAATTACAGGTACCTTGGTAGATGCTGCTCCATTCCTCCTGCCTTCTCATTTTTCAGAGAAAGGTCCAGAGGAGGAGGAGGTAGGCCCAGAGTCCCTCAGACTCCAAAAGAAGCTGAGTAGATTGAGTAGGCTGGGAGAGGAGAAACAGAAGGGGAAAGGAAAATGGTGGATTCCTGTGTATGGAAAGAAGAAAGAAAGGTAGTTTGGGATCACACTGTGAATGACTTTGACTCTTATCCTAAGGAGTTTTATTTTCATCCTGTTTAGGTCTGTGATTCTCAAATATCATTTACGCTTGGAAAGTGATATTTGGTGAGCTGTTATGAGGTTTTCCAGATAAATTAAACAATGCTAGTCTCTTCTCACTTTGAAGAAAAAATAGCTGAAGGGATAGAACCGTTTATTTTTTTTAGATTAGAAAATATAGTTTATTTAAAAAATAAATAAAAAAGGGGAGATTCACCTCCCCAAGGCAGGGAAGGGGGGCAAAGCCAGGAAACATGGCAGTAGCCATAGCTTAAAGGGCTCACGGCCACACCAGAGTCTAGTAAGGGATAGAACCTTTTAGATAAAAATTGTGCCTCTGGATTTTGCTGATACTATTGGCTGGATAAACAAATTTCAGAACAATTAGAAAATGGAAGTTAACAGAAATGAATTGGAAAGGACTAACCATCGTTGATTCTCTTTATGAGTCTGCATTTATGGTTATAATAGTTACATTGCATTCACATGGGTGTTTTCACAGCTAAATCCCTCATTTGTGTGGTAGACTTAGATTTCATCTCATGGAGAGTGACCACATAGGCAGGAGCTTAGTCCATGCCATAGAGAATGTATAGGATGGGAGAGGCAGTAAGTGCTACGGAGAGTTTTATAGACGAGGGAGAGAGAATATGGCTAAGGTTATAGGCCTTGGAGCCCAACAGAAGTAGGTTCAAACCCCCAGCTCTACCCTGTTATGGCTCTGAAGCTTCAGGTAAGAAGCAAACCTCTCTTTACCTCAGTGTTTTCACCTGTAAAATAGAGATAACATTACTGAATATTCACAGAATTGTTTCAGTGATTATTTGAGTAGCCTGTGGTAGGTGCTTAATAAGTGGCATCTCTTAATTTGTTTTCTAAAGAACACTGTGACTTCCATGATTGCAAGTTTGAGCACCACTGTTGCAGGAAATGAAATATTCTCAAAGCCATTTGTAAGTCTAATTTGAAGACGTTGCTGGGAAATTATAGGGATATGTTTCTAACATATAAGTTACTCGCAAACTGTTGACTTAAAATTTCTCTCTTAAACTCTTGTCTCCCCTTCCCACTTAGGGCACTCCATTCTCCCATGTTTTTTATCCTGGAACCATTGAATGGGGGAGGGTTCCCTCATGCTGTAAGTGTTCCAAATCTGATCATTTTATTCTCCTGCACAGTGGCCATCTTTCCTAGTGTTGCGTTAGGACTTCTGAGGGTTTTGGGGGAGATGTTCAGATAGCAGCTTCTCAGGGTGTGCCTTCCCACCTAATCTCACCAAGGAGGTTTTTGGTACATTTCCCAAAACATTTGCAATTTTTTTTCCTTCCTTCTAGTGGTAGTATGTTTGCAGCCTTCTTTAATCTTGCCATGTAGGGTAAATCTGTGTTTTTACATTTTTATTAATTTGCAGTAATATAATTTGACATGCATTTCTATTTTGTCTTTTCAGGTGCCATTTGGATAGTACTTTAGTGGCACAATGTACTCTGAGTGGAGGTCACTGCATTTGGTGATTCAGAATGATCAGGGCCATACCAGTGTGCTACACAGCTATCCAGAGAGCGTTGGGCGAGAGGTGGCAAATGCCGTGGTCCGTCCTCTTGGGCAGGCTTTAGGTGCCCCTTCAGTGACTGGTAGTGAGAGTTTGTTAAAAACTGACAAAGAAGTAAGTGTTTCTTCATTCCGTTCTATTATGTGAAGATGTACATTTGTTCTTGAATAATTTATTTAATGTTGACTTTTTAATAGATTTCTGCCCAATGTAATGTGACTTCTCAATTTTGATTTCGTTTGGGTTGAGGACTGGGACTTGGGGTTTGTGGGAGTTATACGGAATGGATGGTGTCATGTTGCTGCTGGAACTTCCTAATAGCTATGCCTAATTCTCCACTTGAGCTAAGTGCCCAAGACAGAGCCTTGAGTGTCAGATCCTTCCCCCTAAGCTCTAGGCTCAGCCTTCTGATTTCCATTCAGAGGTATGTATGGAAGGCCTCTAGATGGCCCCTGACTGAAGGCCTACCTTATGGCAAGTTTTTAGGCTACACGTAGTTGTTGAGTTTGAGCTCTCCCCATCCCCATCCCTGCCTTCCTCTTCCTGGCTTCCAGGTTTAAGAGTGCTGCAGAGAAGCTGAGCCCTACTGACTATGAGTCCAGGTGGCTGGAACTGGGGTGTCGTTGTTGTTATTGAGCTTAAACTATTTAATACATAGGTATATCTTGTTAGATTTGGCTTTGGTTTTAAGCTGTCAAAGTCTTTTTGAATTCTGAATTTCTATCCAACAAGTTGGCCATCTTTTTTTTAGCTTTGTGAGATCTACAGATGATCTTCTTTCCCCCCCCCCCAAGTTAAAATATTGGCAGGGCCTTTGGCATGCCACTGGGCACCTTTTTCCAAAATGATCTTGGTACATTAGTTCATTGTTATTCTGTCATGTGGTGTTTTGACCAGTTATCATCAATTCAGCCATTCTGTCTTCCTCTGGGCAACAAGGATGTCCTGGATTTGTCTAGATTTCTTGCTAAAGCATAGATTCCCCTTTGCCAGAGAAGTCTGTTGATGGCATGGTGAGAATAGCTTCAGATTTCTAGTTGGAAGACCAGGTTCAAGTTTTCAGCTACACCTTTTACAAACCAATGGTTTGGGCCAAATTGCTTAATCTTGCTAAGCTTCTATTTTCTTAGGTATAGTGACAATAGTTTACCCTCTCACACTGGGTTATTGTGATGGTTAAATGACAATTATGAAAGTTCTTTGTAAGTTGCAAGGACTATACAGTTATCAACTCTCTTAATAGTAACCCTGTTAATAAAGGAATGAAGCTCGTCTGGCATGACTTGATTTTTTTGAGCAGGCTGATTCTCAGTGATTATGCTTCTCTTTTTTATAAGTGTTCATGGGTTGTCTGCTTAGTAATTTGTCTCCATTTTATCTGGAATTCACTGAAACTTTCCAGTTTACAGTGTCTGAAATATAATTTCATCCTTTCTTGCAAATTGGAGTTTTTCTCCTTTCTTATAGCATCTTACCCATTCTTTATGACTGTAGGTGGGGGGTCAGTAGTCTGTCAAGTAGGTTCTTTCAGCTCCTAGGGTGTGATTCTGATAGGTCAAGAGGCTGGAATTCATTTAGTGCAGCTAAGTGCTTTGTTAAGATCTTACCTAGCTTCAGTTCCTTCTCACCTGTGTTTGTTCTTCATTTTAAGTATTATTTTCTTTGACAGGGAAAACAGCTGTAACATAAGAGTCATACTGAGTCTTCCTGTTGTTTGCTCAGTTGCATAATCTGGAGATGGAATTTGACTGTATTTATGTATATGATTTCCTAGATGACAAACATACCCATATACAAATTAAATGAAGAAAAATATCTAAAATTTTCTATTTTTACACCTTTAATCTCTGTGAAAAATTCAAATAACCTGTACTTTTTAGTTCACAGAGCAAATCATAGTAATGTCTAAAGGGTTAAAAGCTAGCATAGGCCTGATGTTTAAAAAGAAGTAATTTATTTTCTTCTTAAGTCTTCTGCTTGGGAAATATTATATGAGTATGTTTGATATGAGAACAGTACATTCTCTAGAATAAATCTGATGTGTGTATTAAGATGAATATATTGTCAATTTAGAGATTTTTGGCAATAAAAGAGGTGAACATTTTAAATCAGTCTACTGAGATAGGAATGTATAATAATTTTATGTGGATATTTTGTTTTGTTTAGGTAAAATGGACCATGGAAGTAATTTGCTATGGACTGACCCTTCCACTGGATGGAGAGACTGTAAAATATTGTGTTGATGTATATACAGACTGGATTATGGCTTTAGTGTTGCCGAAAGATTCCATTCCATTGCCAGTTATTAAAGAACCTAATCTATATGTTCAAAGTATACTCAAACACCTGCAAAATCTTTTTGTACCAAGGTAAGCTTTATGTGTCTATCTGGTCCATTATAAGTATCATAGTAAATAAATATTACTGTTTTGAATTATAGAGGCTGATGTTATTGTTAGTCCTCTGAACAGTGACTTTAATTACTTGTTCAATTAAAGATTGTATTGATATGAATGATAGGAGAGATAATGTTTACTAGGTGTTTTTAACAGATATACGTTCATTTTAATGGCTTTTGGGTTTGCTTCTAAGATCTGGTAACTGTTAGATATTAAAACACTGTGACATCTTTCCCTTCTATTCAGGAAAACATACTTTTGCCTATCATAATTCTTATCTCCACTTAAGCTAAAGGCAAATAAGCCTTCTACCTTAAAATGAATCTTTCCTATGAGAGAATGAAGACACTTGAAATTATTAAGGGCAGATTTGTAGTAAGCCAAAAGATTACTCTTGTTACTGACTTTTTTTTTTTATCTTCTGAGACAAAGGCCCTAAATATCATAATGTAGGATATCTACTTTACTTGTACTTATTAAAGGTTTGAGGAAATACAGAAAAAAATGGTGAAAAAAGCATTAGTTTCCTACTCATTTGTGAGGATCTGTTTTTAGCTATGTTTTATTTTTGTGTCTGTGAAAGGGACAGTAGGACTTGTCTCCTTTTGGAAAAGTTCTGGTTAGAGCTTTTAGCCTTTGAGATGGTAAGGGATTTTGAAAATCAGCTTTGTACATTTTAACTTTCTACATATAGAAGGAAGATTACTTTGGAAAATCTGAATCAGAAAAGAGAAGTCTATATTAAGAACTCTGGTCTGTAGATTCATGTGTAAACAACTTATCTTGCATGAAATGCTTGCTGTAATCTAGCCCCTAAAACCAGACTAGCTGCTGCCAATTCTGCATGAGTCCTGCTCTTTAGTTAGACTCATAACTTAAATATTCCCCTAAGACCCCTTAGAGGTCTTTTCCATTATCATCTGTCCTTTTGTTTTCTTCCTCCTCCTTTATCTCCATGTTTTACTCTAGGTTCATCTTAAATTATGCCTTGTAAGAAGTTCTGCCTGAATACCCAGGCTAAGAGTAATCACATTTTTCTGAACCTTATGGTACTTTCTGTATGGCTTTTGTACCTCTAACTGTTTTGCTATGTAAATTTCAAAACGTACATGTCCCCTCCCATCTAACCAACTTTAGGGCAGGAACTGGGTTTTCTGTATTTTGGGCTTCCAAAGTACCTGGTGCAGTATTGGTGTCTTTATATTTAGTACTTATCTGAGGTGTGAATTAAATGCTTGTTGCTTGTATTTGTTGATTTCAAATGGGAATAATAACAGGAAATGGTTGACAGTAGTTAGCATATTGTTTGTAGGTTCCTTTAAAATGGTATTAATAGCTTAATTTTTTTGTTGTTGTTGTTATCCCATTTAGGAGACTGATTTACTGTCTCTGTGGCTTGGACAGTCTTATGAGTAGTATCATCATTGTGTCTCTTTCCTATTTGTACCTCTGCCACCTCTCAGCACTCAGTTAATTTGTATTGAAGAAAACTAATGACATTTGAGTTAATTAGGCTCATGCTTTTACTTTTCTCTTTTGAGAAACATGACTACCTTATATATTGTGTTACTATTTGGTAATTAGTTTGTTTTTGCAAAAGTGTATGTGTATGTATAAGGGTTAGTAAATTCTGAGAGGATGCCAAACAGTATTAGATTCTTTTCCTGGCCAACAGTGTTTTAAGAAGATTAGCTGAATATTTTCAATGCTAAATATTGTTGTTATGACTTCATCTCTATTTGAAGTTTCAGTTTTTTGATTCAGGTAGTCATGAAGTTGTCATCTAAGTTTGCGTAATTAATTGTTTTTATAAAACTAACACTGAAAATAGAGGGAACTGCCTTTATCATTTTGTTAGAGATTAATTCAGAGAGGATGTAACCTTTCTCTTTTGCCCATCAGTTTTTGTTTTGTTTTTTTCATAAATGAATGAAGAATGAACCATCTTTTAAAACTAAGGTTTTAATTGCTCATGTATACTGTACTATACTAAAAAATGTATTACTGTTCTATTGCAGTGTTAACAAATTTCTTTTTTTTTTGAGTTGGAGTCTCACTCTGTTGCCCAGGCTGGAGGGCAGTGGCATGCTCCCAGACATTGCAACCTTGACCTGCTGGGCTCAGGTGATCCTTCCGCCTCAGCCTTCCAAGTAACCGGAACTACAGGCATGCGCCATCACACCTGGCTAGTTTTTAAAAAAAATTTATTGTAGAGATGAGGCCCCGCAAAGTTGCCCAGGCTGGTCTCGAACCCGTGGGCTCAGGCAGTCCTCTCACCTTGGCCTCCCAAAGTGCTGGGGTTATAGGCATGAGCCACCGCACCCGGCCTAGCAAATGTTTTATGTAAAGAGTCAGATAGTATTTTAGGCTTTGCAGGCCATATGGTGTTGCAATTACTCAATTCTGCTGATGTGGCATGAAAGCAGCTATAGACAGTACGTACATGGGTGCGCATCAATATGTTCCAGTAAAACTTTATTTACAATAAAGATGGCAGGCTAGATTTGTGAACTTTATTTTTAGTAAAAGATGGCAGGCTGGATTTCACCCATTGGCCATATATGGTTCACCAACCTCTGTTCTAAAGCAGTTTATCTGAAGATCACAAGTTACTTTTGAAAATATTGGAGGAAAAGGGAAATCTCTAGTGTTTAGACCTTTGTTTGTTTTTATGTAAAGGTTACCTTGTTTCTCTTAGCTTTAGAACTTTGGATCCTGCTCCTGAATTTAGGCCTTCTGAGTGAGGAGGAGCCTCAGAACCTGAGTAGAAGGTATTTCTTTTCCTGCTACTTGGAAAGTCCCTGGAGATGGTTACTGTTTAGGAAGCATGCAGTATTATTGCTAGCTTGGAAGAGTGCCAGTCCCAGGGTTACTAGTGGGATTTTTATTTCTTGTTTTAAGTTTCCTCCTATATTACTAGATGAGGTTTGGGGCTGTTATGTAACTTCTTATTCTTCTTCAAGTAAGCCAGAGCAGGAGACACAAGCTTGAGCCTCATCATGGCTTTATATGGGCTAGATTCACCTTTAGTGGAATGTGGGACATCACTCTGCTCTTGGGGGTGCTTTGCTTTTCCTAGGCAGTTGTCTCATTTTGTTTTATGTCTAACTTCTTTAGGGAAAACTTAGTGGTATCATTTGCTTGCAACTTCAGGTAATGACCCAGAATCTGAGAGTCTCAAATCTAAGGTTGAGGTGGGAGTTCTAGGGGCAATCACTTCATTTTCTGGAATTTCTTGAGGAGGCTCTGAGACTCCCTACTCTGATTCAGACATGGTTCTGTCAGTTCTTTGTGACAAATCACAATATATATAAACTTGGCTTCAAGATTTATTTCAGTAATATTAGGTACTTGTCTTGGGTTTCAAATAAGAGATCAGGAGACTGGCTCATCATTTGCTAATACAGTAGGTTTCTTACTATTTCCAAGAAATCTGGAAGTGGTTCACTTTGGAAAGTGAGGGTAAGGGCTGGACCTCTATCTTCTTCTTCAGTCCTAGCCATAATACTTCGATCTATTTTATAGATGATTCTTCTTTATAAGATTTCACTTGGAAAAACTGGTCCTACAAACTATTTTTCCAAGGTATCTTGGGAACCTTTAGAGCCCCCATCTTTGGTTAAGTTGCTTTTTTGTTTTTTATTAGAGCAGCAGTAGCAGGTATTCATTTCTGAGGCATTTCCTACATACCTATCAATTATAGGGACCTGTTGGGTTATTCCATCGGGCTTAGAGGCTCTTCTCTAGTAGACATTGGCTTCAGAAGGACTGTTAGCATTGTGAAATCACATGCAGAATTCTTGTAGATGTGTGTATAAAAGAATAAATGAGCGGGCTCGGCAGCTCAGCCTGTAATCCCGTGCCTTTGGGAGGCTGAGGTGAGTGGATTGCCTGAGCCCCCGGGTTCGAGACCCGCCTGGGCAGCGAGACCTCATCTTTACAATAAATCGAAAAATCAGC